AAAAAATATATATATATATATATATATATATATATATATATATATATATTTTTTTATTTTTTTTTTTTTTTTTTTTTTTTTTTTAGCATTTCGGTGATATAATCTTTATTTTTGTTTCCTGTCTGCGTATTCTTAACTGGAATTTACTTTATTTATTTTATTTTTATTAAGTCAACAAACATTTACATGAAAAAATACTCTCAGAGAGGATAGCAAAGGTGTACCGTGATAGTTTATTATGGTTTATTGAGAAAAAATATTTTATCCTTGCTACATAAGACTCCATTTCCCATCATTCCTGTCGCAGGTCGGGTGGAGTGCGCTTCCTTGTCAAGATGGCGGCTCCCTTGACTCTGCTTCTGATCGTAGCCGTCACAATCCGCGCGGCTCTCTACAGATCCAGTTTAGCGGAGCTGATCGCAGAGAGGGTGGAGGTTGTGTCTCCGATCACCGCCTGGAAGAGAGGTAAGCCGGGTGGGAGCGGTGCTCTGGGGCCCCTGGTTGATGTTAAACTCCTGCAGCTCCTCTCTGCTCCAGGCACCGCGCTCAAGTCAAACCGGTTCATCTGCTTTAACAAGTAGCAGGGATATGGAATCTAACATATACATGTTTTATACGATCAAATTTGCTACCGGTTTTAATATTTTATGTTTGATTAATAAAATATTAACGCGCATTTTTAATGGTTTAAACAGAGAAATGGATCAATAAAGAACTGAAGGGATGGTAGGGCTGTTCATGTTGGTGCCAGATGACTTGATGGAGTATTAATGCCAGGCTACAGATTGTTTATTCTTCTATAGAATATTCCAATATTCATGTTTTAGCTGATATTCTAAAATCAGTATTAGAACAGTACATCCCCCATATAAACTTCAAATATATTTTATGGAGATCTTTATAATCATAGATAAGCCATTTTATTGAGACCCAAACATGGATTCCGTTCCTCAAAGTAACTTAAAATACATCAATTTTACACACTTAAGATCTTTTGTGTGAAAAGTTTGTAAAGCATCAATGTTAGATTTAGAACTTTTATTTTTCAGTTTTTAAATACACTTCCACAGAATTAAATAAACAGAAATTCTCTTTTGAATTGTATTTATCTATTTTCCAAACAATTAAAGCCAAAAACTTCAAAGCTTGTGACAAAACATATGTTTGCGCAAAGTATATATGCATATGTGTGCATATATGTATATATAT